TTTCGCGTTAAATCCATTTCCAAAAAAGGAAACTGTATTGCATCTCAACATCTCAACGTTGGGCATTATTGTTTTTTTAATAATTAGCGATTGAATAATCAATTATTAAACGGGTTCGATAAAAAAAGGATAAACCAAAAATCTAGCTTTAATATACATTTTTTTTCTCATTGCACAATTCATGCATTAAAAAACTATTATATCCGTAGGCAAAATATTGTGAATTTAAAATGCAATTATAACTTTAATTTATTTGAGTATTTGAGATCATCATTTTGTCGGTCATTTTATTGATAAAATAAAAAGAATCGTTAATTGAATTTCTGTACTTTAAAATATACATGAATTTATTTTATCGAACCGTCCCTCTTTTGTGTTCAACTTTAAATTGAGTTAAACTTATTTCGGAAGTTGATTTGGAACATTAAAAAAAAAAAAATTTTTTTTTTCATTACATTTTTCACTGGATGCGTGCAGATGTTCGGTGGTTTGCGTTGCATATTTTTTTAAAAACTTTTTCTCCTTTTTTTTTTGGTATAACAAATAAAAGGAAGTTTCTTGAACTTATTCTATATCCAATAGGTAGTTTTACCAAATTTATCGATTAATTTTAACTAATTAAGAATAATCTGAAACCTCTTATCTAACGTATCTAATGGTCTGTTTACAATACCAATAAAAAACTTTTAAATAATGAAATTCCCATTTTTAAATCAAATGAGCGTAAAAGTGTCGAACCTCTTGAATTGTAAATTTTCAGCCATCGGTTATGTGAAAACAGATCCGTTAATTGATAAATTTGATAAATTTACAATATATTCATTCACTTTTAAACTTTATTTTTTCATAATTGTTCAATATAATTAATTATTAATCATCTTAAACCCTGCATTCCATAACAGTTTACAATTTATTGAAATATATTAAAAGTGAAGCCCGATCAATCAAATCAAATCAAATAAAATAAAATTGATAAACAAATAAAAAAATCAAGTTTTCAAAGTAAGGATTTCACAGTATAAGATTATTGCACTACTTACTAAATTCAAATGACAAGAAATCAAGAAATAAATAATCTACCTTTTAATGTTCTGTATTTATCCAAATACTGTATATTCATACATATTATTTGTCGCGACTTACATCACCATAAATAATCATGTCTTTATCCATTAGAAATATTAGATATTAAGTTACACAGTGCCCATCATTTATATACTAATACTTTTAAATATATATATTTTTTTCTCATTGTATCATGTACAGATCATGCACTAGAAATAATTACCCGCAGACAAGGCAATTATGCATGTAATGTCCATGTCCATTCTAAATTCGGATCTTCTATGCGTCTATATATATATTCAAAGAAAATGGTAATTGTATTTTTCACATGAGAAAGAATTTGTGAAACAAAAAAATTAGCAGATTTTTGCCTGATTTTTTTTTCTTTTTTTCGCAAATTGAATCAGCTATCGATGCATTTACAATCATTATAGATTGATGAATCTGATAAACATCTAAAAATCAATCCTTAACAGGTTAATAACCAGTTCCAACCTTGTAATTCATTTTATTTTTAAAATATATGGCGATTTAACGGGTCCCAATTTTTTAGAAATATAAATACAGGAATTCGTTTTTTATAAAATTCTAAAACTTATTCAAAAAAATAAAAATAAAAATTCCTAATTTCCCGATAAAGTTTCTTTTTTTTGTTTTTTAAGAAAAAATCATTTTATAAGCATGGAACAAACAACTAACTATAAACTAAAAATTGACTATTTATTGTCTAATGACACATTTCTCACTCAACGAACCCAACCTATACCTGTTTCTGAATATAAAAGATGCAATGAATGCCATCGAAACAGAAAAAAGTTTGTTGAAATTCATCAGATTTGTCATTTATGCCATAAAGCAAGAACCAATATGGTACCAAGCGGTAATAAAGATATTGATGATTTTATAAGATTTACTCAAACTTATCGTGTTGACACTGTTGGAAGAATGAAATTTATTCGCTACGAAAAATTCAAAAACGTAAAACTTATTGCTGAAGGAGGATTTAGTAAAGTTTATAGAGCAAATTGGTTTGACGGCCCTGAACCGTTAGTAGCCCTCAAAAGACTTAACAACTCCTTTAATATAAATTCAAATGAATTATATGAGGTACGCGGTATTCTAGATCATAAATCTTAATGTAAGATAAATAATCTGATAAATTTTTTTATTTCAGCTTAAATGTTATTATATATTTTGGAAAAGAGATATTGATGCTAGATATATAAATAAATATTATGGAATAACACGTGACCCTATCACACATGAATATTTTATTATAATGCAACATTATGCATTGGATCTACCACGTTTCATAATTAGATATTTTTTTGAACTTTCATGGAAAGATAAATTGGGAGGCCTAAAAACAATAATTGAAGGGCTTAAAAATATACATCAAGAAGATATTATTCACCGTGATTATCACAGCGGAAATATTATGATTTCCCGTTTCATGGGACCCACTGGATTTATCACCGGGTTTAAATGTTCATTAAGCGATATTGGTATAAGTAAATCATCAATATCAAATGATGATCATGAAATTTATGGTATTATTCCTTATATAGCACCGGAGATATTTCAAGGGCAACAATATACTAAAGCTTCAGATGTGTACGGATTTGGCATGATTATGTGGGAATTATTGACAGGTAGAAGGCCTTTTTGGAATCGAAATCATGATACATATCTTATTATTGAAATTTGCGACGGCCTTCGCCCTCCAATTGTTACAAATGCACCCGAAGGTTACAATGAACTAATGCAATGTTGTTGGAATTCGGATCCATTCAAAAGACCAACAGCTGCTAATATACTATCAATAATTATTCGTATTCTAAATTCAGAATTGCATAGATATCCAACTATTTCTAGAAATTCACCAGAAATCGGGCCTATAGCAACAAATAATCCCAATGCCATTTATAAAAGTAGACCTTTAAGCGCGATGATAAGATCTATCGAGTCTACAAAAATTTTAATAAAACAAAGAATTGCTTTAGAACTTGGTAAATTTGCTTCAATAATTTTTATTATGAAAAAAAAACTATTAATTTATCATTACTAATAAGTATTAAATATTTAATAGATAAAAGAAAATTTGACGCTAATCCAATTGACGATGATCAAGATACGAAAAAAGTTAAATCTTATGTCTTTGTAAATAATTTTTTCGATGGATTTAGTAAGTAAATATATCATTGTTTAAAGTATATAGATTTCTTCTAATTATTAACTAATCAAATTTGTTTATAATATAATAGGTCATTTTTCATATAATTGATAAATTTTTTTGTTAAATCTGGTTCAATTTTTATTATTATACATATCATCTAACAAATAAGCTATCTAGTCAGTAAAAATTTTGCGAAATTTTATTCCTTATCATTTTATTTATCATTTTAAAATTCGAAAGAAAAATCAAGAATCCGGTTATTGTCAAAATTTTTCGAATACAATAAACTTTTTATAAACATTATTATATTTAAAACAAGTGCGTTTTAATTGGCAAAACGGTTTACCAAGCTTGAGTCAAATAAATTTTTGTAGAATAAAAATACATTTGGTTAAATGCCACGAACATGAATACTTTTTCTTAAATATGATTGGCTCAAAAGGTTCATTATCAACCACAAGGATATTTTTTCGCACTTTTGATATTAACAAAAATGGTCGTGTAACTAATAATTTAGTGCAACAAACTCTGATTTTATGATCTCCTTAAGTCGACTTTAACGAGAGCATAGTTCCAGCGTACGATAGGTTTGTTTTAGATTTTTATGATGAATGAGCTTCATAAATACGAAATATTAAAAGGGTTAGGTTTTTATTCTCATTTTATAATGCAATCAATGATGATTTTATTGTAAATTTTTCTCAAATATTTGTCTTTGATTTGGGTTCAAGATTTCACTGATTAGCGATTAAACGGTTCTATGCTTTATTTTATTTTATTTGTTTGGGTTTCTCCTTAGCATTATTATACGGTACAATCTCCTTCGAAGAGGAAATTTATTAAGGAAATCCTTAAACTAATTAATTTACTTGATAATAAAAACTCTCAAACAACGAATATTTGTTTTCCAGATTAATGTTTAACTTATGTATCGATGTGATATTTAAGCCTGCCGTATATTTTTAGTGCATGTAATATTAATGGATTAGTCATTCGTTGTGTTAAAATAAAATATTAATCTGTTAAGGATTTTTAAAATAGTTATCAGTTTTATCGCCTATAATGCATTGTGAAATCCCATCTTACACATGTAAATGATTTCTAAAATCAAAAAATAAATATCAATTAATTTTTCATCCTCAAATTTTTATGGATTCGTTCTAACCTTGCAGAACATTCGAATTTAGAATGGACAACACATTACATTTTTTTATTCACAAGCTTACAATGATTTAGAGAAAACTTTAATGCGTATTTTGTACAATGAGAAAAAAAAAATATATATTAAAGTTTGATTAGAAATTGAGGGATGATTTATTGACGTGATTGACGTGATATTCATGCAGTGTGATGAGCACTGGTGTAACCTGAATGCTTCAATTCCTGTGGTTGAGAGATGGTTATAAAAGTCGCGAAGATTAATATATTATGAGCAGTTTAGCATAAGAAATGCATCATAAGAACAAAGTACCGGTGCACAACTGGTTTTTTTTTGGAAATGCTTTGAATGAGTTCACATATTTAGATAAATTTAGAACATTAAAGGATAGATTTTTTATTCTTGTCATTTGAATTTAGTAAATAATGCATCAATTATGTGAAATTCTTTTTCTGTTTTGAAAACTTGATTTTTTTATTTGGGTTCAATCATCCTAATATTTATGTGCATATTAATTAATAATTTTCACTGCTTATGTGTGAGAAATTTAATTTTTTTTTTCTTTTGATTTGTTTGTGGCTTCACCTTAATATTGTTCAATAAAAGGGTATATTGAATATTTATTTATGTATGGAATTTTTTCCACATGGAATGTTAAACTATTTTAATTATACAGTATTATAGACTGATCAATACAATATAATTACCGGATCTCTCTATTCACATAACCGATGGCTGAAGGTTTAATAATAGGAATTTCGTTATCTCAAAGATTTTGTTGGTATTGTAAACAGTACATTAGATAAGAATACATATTAATGCATACATTTTAAATAAAAACTTTTAACGCGTTAAATTAATCGATAAATTCTATTGGATATAGAATAAGTTCAGAAACTTGCTAAACCACAAAAAAGGACAATTTTTTTTTAAAAATATGCGACGAAAACCACTGAACATCTGTACTGCATATACTATGAAAGAGAGACCAGTAAAAAATGTAATGAAAAAAAAATTGTTTTTTAGTATATTTTTTATTGTTAGTGAAGAATAATAAAAATTACAAGAGAATTCTTCCAAATCAACTTCTGAAATAAGTTTGGCTCACATTTAAAGTTGAACACAAATGGAAGGACAGGAAGGACAATTCGATAAATCAATTCATAGGAATAGAAATTCCATAAACGGTCATAAGGAATTTTTTTTATTTTATCGTTGTAGTAAAATGACCGTCAAAACGATGATCTCACTCTAATAAATTAATCAATTGCATTTTAAATTCACAATATTTTACCTACAGATATAATAATTTAGAGGATTTTTAATACATGAATTGTGTCATGAGAAAAAAATTATATAATAAAGCTAGATTTTTGTTTTATCCTTTTTTTATCGAACCCGTTT